CAAGCCCAATGGGCTCTTGTGTGAGGGGGCGCGTTGAGATATATAGTCTCACATTGGTTGTATGTGCCTTGGGCACTCCCACCCTTTGAGCTAGATTTTGGGGTGGTGTATCCCAAGGTTCTTTACAGTGTGTATTGGTGGATGAAGAACAGAAAGCTCTTCAAACGTAAAGAGAAAATTTTTGCACAAAATGGTGGCATATTGTTACAACAACTGTTAGCTAAGCATGGAGGATCAAGTGAAACAGCGAGAGTTTTTAGTGAGGAGGAAATCAAGGAGGCCACCAACAACTTTGATGAACGAAGGGTCCTTGGCCAAGGGTATTATGGAAAAGTTTACAAAGGAGAATTACTTGATAATAGAATGGTAGCTATAAAAAGGTCCAAAATCAATAACCCAATCCAGATTGAGCAGTTCATCAATGAGGTATATGTGCTTTCCCAAATCAACCATAGGAACGTGGTAAAGCTCTTGGGGTGTTGTTTAGAGACAGAACTTCCCTCGCTTGTCTATGAATTCATTCCTAATGGTACCATTTCTCAGCATCTTCATGATCAAACCCAATCTTTTATAAGACTCTCATGGGAAACACGATTGAGAATAGCACAAAAACTGCTGGAGCCCTTGCATACTTGCATTCTGCTGCTTCAACACCAATCATACACAGAGATGTGAAAACTTCTAATATACTACTAGATTCTGATCTCACTGCAAAGGTTTCGGATTTTGGAGCTTCAAGGTTTATTCCTCTTGATCAAACTGAGTTAACCACTTTTGTGCATGGGACTCTAGGGTATCTTGACCCTGAATATGTCAACACGGGCAAATTAACTGTGAAGAGCGACGTTTATAGCTTTGGGGTTGTTCTAGCAGAGCTAGTCACAGGTAAGAAGGCACTTTCTTTAAGCAGGCCTGAGAGTGATAGAAATCTAGCAATGTACTTTGTTTCTTCAATGAATGATGGAAGGTTACTCGCAATTGTGGATAACAAAATAAAAAATGAGGCAAATATTGTTGAGCTTGAGCAAGTATTGGAAATTGCCAATATCACAAAATGTTGTTTAAGTGAGAAGGGTAAGAAAAGGCCTACCATGAAGGAAGTTGCAATGGAACTTGAAGGACTGAGAATATTAATGATAAAGAACAGACAGGAAAGTGTCGAAATGTCTTCAGATGAGACAGGGCACTTTCTCAATGATGATTTGTTTCCTTACAATGTTGACATCGAAGCTGGAGTTGGTTCAAGTGGTGTAAATTCTGGGATGTATAGCTTAAACCAGGTTTCCATGATATTGAGTGGCAGAAGATAATTAGGTGGTAAAGATTATGAAATCATAGTGATTACCAAGTCTGTCCTTACTCGGAACCTGATCCGAAACTTTCATAACACATGTGAATATGCTTTGATGCATTAATGAATTTGATGTTTCCTTTAGTTTCTTGTATATTTGTGTTTTAATCTTCTATAAAATTTCTGCATACATTTTTATTTGTTCATTTGGTTTTACTCAATTTTTATACAGAAACAACTATTCAGAGGAAAAAAATGAACAAATAAAAATGTATGCAGAAATTTTATAGAAGATTAAAACACAAATATACAAGAAACTAAAGGAAACATCAAGTTCATTAATGCATCAAAGCATATTCACATGTGTTATGAAAGTTTCAGATCAGGTTCCGAGTAAGGACAGACTTGGTAATCACTATGATTTCATAATCTTTACCACCTAATTATCTTCCGCCACTTAATATCATGGAAACCTGGTTTAAGCTATACATCCCAGAATTTACACCACTTGAACCAACTCCAGCTTCGATGTCAACATTGTAAGCAAACAAATCATCATTGAGAAAGTGCCCTGTCTCAGCTGAAGACATTTCGACACTTTCCTGTCTGTTCTTTATCATTAATATTCTCAGTCCTTCAAGTTCCATTGCCACTTCCTTCATGGTAGGCCTTTTTTTACCCTTCTCACTTAAACAACGTTTTGTGATATTGGCAACTTCCAATACTTGCTCAAGCTCAACAATATTTGCCTCATTTTTTATTTTGTTATCCATAATTGCGAGTAACCTTCCATCATTCATTGAAGAAACAAAGTACATTGCTAGATTTGTAGCACTCTCACGATGATAATCACAAGTGTTTACAAGGAGGAGGAAGGAGGAACCAAGCAAAAGATGAAAACTTGGCTCACTAGAGATGGAGGAAGACAATGGAATTGTAGCAACTGACCAGCCACTCCAACCAGTCACGTAGCAACAGAAAAATACCTAGGGTTTTGGGCCAAAGAGCCTATTTATAGCGGTTTAACACTTAAACACACAGTATTAACTTTAATTGCTACGCTTAGCATTTTAACCCCAAACTCTTGATTCGTAACCTACTCTATTTTACAAGAATTGTCATATTTTTCTTATATTTTTTGGAGCACCTTTTCGGTACGCGCTTTTCATAGCCAGTACCAGTTTCTGGCACCAGTTCTCATTATTTTAACTTGAAACTCGTTTTACAAGTCCTACATATTATTCTAGTAATTATCATGCACTTATTATGATTTTCCGGGATACTTTTCGATACGCATTTATACCGACTAGCAGAACCAGTATCTGCACTTTTCGTCAGAAAAGCGACTTTCAGCATTATTACTCACTTAATAATTATTAGAGCCTCATAATAATTATTAGGGTCAATTATGGAATTATCTCATTAAACTCATAATTAACTGATTAATTTCCTTAATTAACGATGCATGTTCTTACATTCACCCCTCCTTTTTTAGGATTTTGTCCTCAAAATCAGAATATACCTGTCTTGAAAATCGGGATACTGCCAGAGAAGCTCATCCTCTCGCTCCCATGTACACTCCTCAGGAGTCCTTCCTGACCATTGCACTTTGACCATCAGAATGATCTTGCTCCTCAGCTGCTTCTCGCCATGATCGAGAATCTTGAGTTGTCCGACGGGAGTTTTGAAGTTCTCCCGAACCTCCACATCATCAGGTTGCACCACATGTGAAGGATCCGCTACATACTTGCGAAGCTGAGACACGTGAAACACGTCGTGGATGTTGGCCAAGTTCGAAGGCAAGGCAAGCCGGTAGGCAACAGGTCCTACTCTACCAAGAATCTGGTACGGTCCAATAAACCGCGGGCTCAGCTTCCTCACTCCGAGTGCCCGTCCAACACCGATGACAGGTGAAAGTCTCACAAACACGTGCTCACGGTGAACTCCAATGGACGATGCTTGACATCGTAGTAACTTTTCTGGCGATTCTGCGCCTGCTTCAGCTTTTTCCTGATGATCTGGATCTGCTGGGTGGTATCTTGGACAAAGTCCAAGCCAAACAACTCACGATCCCCAACCTCAGACTAGCAGGTAGGTGTACGACACCTTCTACCGTAGAGCAACTCGTAGGGTGCCATGCCCAGGCTAGCATGGAAACTGTTGTTATACGAAAACTCCACCAATGGAAGGTACCTATCCCATGCCGAGCCCTGTTCCAACGTGCAAGCCCGCAACATGTCTTCCAAGGTCTGGATAGTCCGCTTAGACTGTCCACCAGTCTGAGGGTGATAGGCTGTACTCAGTCTCAACTGAGTCCCAAAAGCTCCCTGCAGCGCCTCCCAGAACCGAGATGTGAACTTCGGGTCCTATCACTGATGATACTCTCGGGCACCCCATGAAGCCTCACGATCTCGCGAACATACAATTTGGCCAACTGCTCAGTAGTGAAGCTCACCTTCACTGGAAGAAAATGGGCAGACTTCGTCATTCTGTCCACAATGACCCATATAGAGTCGCAGCCAACCTGGGTCTTCGGAAAATCCACAACGAAGTCCATGGAAATGCTCTCCCATTTCCATTCCGAAATCTCAAGAGGTTGAAGTTTACCAGACGGCTTCTGATGTTCAATCTTCACCTTCTGGCAGATCAAACACTTGGACACATATACAACTATGTCCTTCTTCATTCCTGGCCACCAGAAATTCCTCTTCAGGTCTTGGTACATCTTTGTAGCAACAGGGTGAACAGTAAACTGTCCCTTATGGGCCTCCGCCATAACCTCTTCGGTCAAAGGACCTCGAGGAATCACCACACGCTTCTGAAACAACAGAAGTCCATCCTCATTCCAAGACACACCGTCTTAGTTCTTCACGTAGTCGAGACACTCTCTCTGCACTTGCGCCTCGTGGATCTTCTCCATAAGCTCATTCATGACTCTCACAGTCTCCATCTCGAGAAGTGCACCCCCAAACAAGGTTGTCACCTTCAGATCTCGAAACTTCTCTATGAGGTCGAAGTCACCCATCGTCAAAATGGATAGACTCATGAATTTTCGACTCAAAGCATCAGCTACCATATTGGCCTTGCCAGGATGGTACTTCAACTCAAAGTCGTAGTCCTTCAGAAACTCCATCCATGTCCTCTGCCTCATGTTCAGTTCCTTCTGATCAAACAGATACTTCAAGCTCTTGTGGTCACTGAACACCGCAAACTGCATACCGAACAGGTAATGCCTCCAAATCTTGAAATCAAACACAATCGCAACCAACTCCAAATCATGAGTCGGGTAGTTCTCCTCATGAGGCTTCAACTGCCTTGAAGCAAAAGCAACAGCTCTACAAGACTGCATCAACACACAGCCTAACCCCTTTCCAGAAGCATCACAGTAAAGCTCAAACTGCTCCTCAGGATTAGGAAGGATTAACACAGGTTAAGTAGTCAATCTCTCCTTCAACACCTGAAAGCACGCCTCACACTCGTGAGTCCACACGAATGGAGTCTCCTTTCGGGTAAGGCGAGTCAAAGGGAGAACCATCGTGGAGAAACCCTTGACGAACCTCCGATAGTAACCTGCCAAACCTAAGAAGCTCCTCACCTCCGTAACTGTCTTGGGCCTCTCCCAATCCAGCACGGCCTCAATCTTGTTGGGATCCACTGCAACTCCATCCGCTGAAATCACATGCCCCAGAAACTTGACTGATTTGAGCCAAAACTTACACTTAGAAGGCTTAGCATAAAACTTTTTCTCCTTCAGCACTTTCAGAACAATCCTCAGATGCTCTGCATGCTCCTCCTCAGTCTTGGAGTAAATCAGAATGTCATCAATAAAGACGATCACAAACTGATCCAGATACGGCTGGAAAATCCTGTTCATGTAATTCATGAACACTGCCGGCGCATTGGTGAGTTCAAACGGGATCACCAAATACTCAAAGTGACCGTATCTCGAACGAAACGCGGTCTTAGGGACATCCTCCGGCTTCACCCGAATCTGATGGTATCCGAAACGGAGATCAATCTTGGAATACATGCAAGCAGCCCTGAGCTGATCGAACAGATCATCAATCCGAGGACGGGGATACTTGTTCTTGATCGTTACCTTGTTCAACTGCCGGTAGTCGGTGCACAATCGCATTGTCCCGTCTTTCTTCTTCACAAAGATGACCGGTGCTCCCCAAGGAGACACACTCGGTCGAATGAAATCTTTCGCTGAAAGATCTTCAATATGCTTCTTCAGCTCAGCCAACTCCGGTGGTGACATCCGATATGGAGCTAATAAAATCGACCCCACACCAGGCAACAAATCAATGGAGAACTCTATCTCCCGCTGTGGCGGAAACTCAGGAATCTCCTCATGAAACATCTCGAGGAACTCCCCCACCACAAGAATGCCAGTGATATCCTCCTGTGTCCCACTCACCAAACCTCCCAACATGACATACCCGAATGCCCCTGCTTTCAAGGCCTTCCTAGCCTGCAGCAATGAAATATATGGCGAGGAACTAGCTGTGAAATCACACGGAGACATCACCACGCGCTTTGCACAACAATCAATCAGTGCACAGTTTCTAGACAACCAATCCATGCCCAGAATAATCTCCAAGTTGGCCATCGGCAATCCTATCAGATCCACCGAGAACTCACGGTTGTACCACTGAAATGCTACATCGCGATTTACAGTGGTAGAATCACATATTTCTCTGGTGGCTGTAGTCACCCGCAACGGTGGAGAAAGCACAAACATGGGCAACTCAAGCCCCAAAGCAATCAGGGTAGCAACAAACGAATGCGTAGCCTTGGAATCAAACAATGCATCAACAGCAATACCACCAATAGACATAGTACCTCTCACAAGGTTCAGAGCGCGGTCCGACTACTGCCTATCCAAGGTGTACACACGCCCAACAGAAGGTGGCACCGCAGGTGCCGAAGTAGAAACCATCGAAACCATCTGCAAAGGAACTGCTTGAACAGCTGCAGCTCTTGCCGTATACGACTGATAGTCTCTAGAGAAGTGGC